TTTACACTTATATTAAAAATAAAATATATTTAAAATAAAAAGGTATCCATCACTGACTTAAACTCATGCTAAATTTTAATTTCGACGATGTAAATATATATATGGTACTGTAATTTAATTGATCATCTTAATTGATGCTTATTGTATCACTTACAGTATGTACATACACTAATATTCTTTAAGAATATTATTACGGAAATTAAGATGATTTTATAGAAAGTTACTAATTGATACGGATATTAAAAGATTGGTGTAAAGTAGAACATTAGTAATTTAACAAAAGCGAGAAAGTTTAATTGTTAATGTAGTTACTGCAGTCCGATGCCATAGTATAAGTACGTACAGTATGTACACTGAGCGTCGGCACTTTTGATATAGTTCCTTTTGATATAGGGTTCCAGGTCACATGACTCGCTGGCATGTTGTGAGTTGGAAAGGCGCATATAAATTCGAATTTTTATAAAGCTACAGAATGATTTTTCTAAAAAAAAAAAAAAGACATAATTCGGTTGTGTCATGAAAATTGTTTATAGTGAATATATTTTTAAATTAGAATTATATAATAATATAATGTTTACGAACTCATTATGTAAAAATAATATTCACATTAATAATATTAAACATTAATAAATAAATTAAAAATAATAATTGATTAAATACTATATGAAAATTGTAATTAAGTATAAAGTTGTAATTTAATAATACGTACGTACACACACATACACACGCGCGTGCGCACGCACATGCATATTTTATTACGAGAATACTTTATCGTATACAAATATAACAATCTACACAATATATAGCGTCTTCGAAAAAATTTGATTTAATTTTTTAGTAAAACTTAATTTTATTAACCCGTTGCCGTACTTTTCTCTTACAAATTAAAAAAAATTAAGCTTTATACGAACGACATACCATGACTCTCACCCGTGATACTCATGTTTGGCCCGACTTCCTTACCACGAGTCTCGCACAATATTGTAGGCAAAAGGACTAATTATATTATATGGGAAGGAGATCCAGCTAACCTAACTTGTAATTTCAATTTGTTGAAGGCAGCCACATTCCTGAGGGTCAATTCTGTATCTTCAAACAAGGTGAAAATTACAAGTGAGCAAATTTACTAGGTGTTGACCAATGAAATTATCAGTATTCTAGTAAATTCGTTTCAAGATACAGGAGATCATTTCTATATCTTAAAACGAGATGAAAATTACAAAAGTAAACGAATTTACTAGAATATTGATAATTTCATTGGTCAATACCTAGTAAATTTGCTCACTCTTAATTTACTCGTAATTTTCACCTTGTTTGAAGGTACAAAATCGATCTTCTCGACGCATGTGCACTAAAAATTGGGGATCATATAAAAAGTTCAGTGTCCATACTGTATGTATGTACTTATACCCGACAAAAAATTACCAACTTTTTGCGCATACGCGCACCCGTCACTTTCCACTATTTCTAGGTGCGTTCACAAACCTTACCTGGATGCCTCGTGTATCATCCTATCTTTGTTTAACATTGGCTGAACAATAAGGATAAAATGATACACGAAAACACTCAGGTATAAACTAACGTTTATGAACGCAACCTTTGCCGATCTGTCGTTTCGCGCCAAGCTTCGCGTTGTTTTGCTGCCAGCTGCTGTTATGCTTTTATTTATGAAGTGTAATGGTAATTGCTTGCGCACTGTTAAAGTATTATAGAAATACATAAACTATTATAGGAATACATCACAAATAACTTGCAAAAATGTCAGACATACGTATTTTGGGTAAGCGATTAGCGCAACGCATCGGTCAGGAAGCGATCGTGCTTGGCAGAATTACGGAGGTATGTAAATATTTTAGGTTAGGTTAGTTTATATAGATTATGATGATCACTAACCACAAAAATTATTTTTACCGCATTTTATTGCAATAAATATTAATTATTATTAATTAAACAATATTTTTAATATATATTATTAATATATTTCCTAATAAAGTTAATCAGGACTTGAACAAGTCTCTGCTATTTTATTTTTAAAAAGTGAAATCAACTAAACTAAATCAATTCGGTTAATATTGATTTGTCATAAAGTGGCATTGCGCCTAATAAATCTTTTATAATTTTGTATTGATGATTTACGTGAGTAAAATGCGTTTGGGGCAATTTGTAGAAAAGTTCTGATGGTAAGAGTGCAGAGATTACGACAACCGATGACGCTCGAATTAACATGATGTTTCTCGAACCATTGGACAGCAACGCATCAGGTTACATAGAGGTGCGTGGTACGGTAAAGTCAAAGTCTACAATGTCTTGCAACAGCTTTGTATGTTTTCCTCCAAGTATGACTAAAGACTTTGGTGAGTAAGACATTCTCTTGTTATCAGTTTTTCTAAAGTGTCGACGGTGTCCTTAACAAAGGTATTTGCTGCAGATTCAAATAGCTATAACACAATGGTGAATATGCGCTGTGCAGTGGGGAATCAGTTAGAAGGAGTGTTTTATGGAGATTAAGAATCAGTTAGAAGTGTTCTACAGAGACAAAGATCCAAGAAATTTACATATACAAATTGTATTTACTATGTCTCACTTCTTTTCATACATTTTTCTTTTTACATTCTGTTAGTTTAGCATATATCCCTACCATAAAAATAACAAGGAATGCTGCAATATAAAAGAAAAGCATTCAAACATGCATTCCTTCGTCTGTACATAAAATCGATCCGGTGGGACCTAATAAGTATACAAAACATGCAAATTGTAATAAATAGGTTATTTCAATAAAATATATGTATATTTATATATATATATATATATATAAGAATATTGAAATTTTTTTGGTAATTGTACCTATGTCACAATTGCATTACGCATGTAATCCAAAGATGAGCAGCGACAATTGCAAGACGTTACGGGACATTCAGTATGTTGTCTGAAACATAGCGGTGCAAAAATTAATAGCCTCGTTGCAAATTTGCTGCAACATATGTTTTACATGTACATATTCAATATCGACTTTTGATTATATTTTATTTGCGCGCAGTTTAAAGAACTGAGAAATGTATATAAATATTCACATAAGAAATGGCTGCTTTTCTTGTAGGAGACACGAATGTCGTTCTATTTCCGTTTTCCATGAAATGCAACAAAAAATAGAACAATGTTTGTGTCAACTGAGTCTCGAAAAAAGAAAGCAACCATCATTAAATAGTAAGATTCCGCTTTGAATAAGACACTTCATTTATTTACATTATTCATATATCAGCTGATTTTTTCACTTATTTTATTAACTAACATATATTTATAACAAATGCGATTTTATATCCTTACCGAAACCACTGAGCTATATGTTCGCTATGTCCTCCGTGTTTACATGTTAGACACCATGAAAACCAGCTATTAAATTCCGTAAGCTTAGCATTGCATTCCTCGTTCCTGGTACCACCAGGACTTGGAGCTGTTTGCAGTCCGCTGACAGTGCCTATGTGCATTAAGCATATTGCACAACGTGGCAAAGGTTTGCGACAATTTGGACAAGCCGTCATCTATAAAAAATATTAGAAAAAAAACTCTATACCATCAAGAAATCCGAGATCTGATAAATATATTAATGATTGATCATACAAAAATCTAGTTAAAGAACAGAAATGTACCTTTAATTTGTTAGGCGTACTGCCTAATCTGCCAAATGGGACTCTCGTCCTGCTCAGTCCTTGCATAGAAGCGGATATACTTTTGCCGCAAAAGTGACAAGATATATGTATTTGTTGCGGCGGTCTTTCTTGTGGTGTCGAGGATCTCATGACAATATCAAATTTAGCTCTTTGAAACCATAATTTCCACGCGTTCAAGAGATGTCTGTAACTGTAACAATAACATACAAAATCAGAAGCTTGATCATTCGAAATTTATAAGAGAACCAATGCGTGATTCTGTACGACAACAATCGATTTATAATCTGCAGATTTGGAATTCAATTTCGACTCTCATCGCATGTGTGTATATTTGTACAAAAAATGGAAAATTGAAGATTGTAAGCAGAGGAAAGGGAGAATAATGGTAACCTGTTTTGGGAATAATTCAAGAAAATATTTACAAAAGAAACTTGGTTGTAATACCTCGTAATCCATACTTGAACTTGATTCTCTTGAAGCAACTTAGGTGGAAAAGTTCTAATAGCAATAAGAGTACAACTCTGAACATCTGAGGTAATTTCCAAGTATTTACTCAATAACTGTACACTTTCCATACTAGCACCTAAAGCGCGACAAATGCAATGCGTTACAAATGAGCACATAGTTAACATTATATATTCATAAAAATAGAAAACATATATTCGAGTCACAACCTAACCTGTAACTAAGAAGCCCGCTAGATCTCCATCTTCAATTACTTTCTCAGTCAATTTTTTCAAATACTCGTGCAGTTTATTATCCGATAAGAACATGAGAGCAAATGCTACTCGATCTTCGACAGCCATGCCATTTTCATTCTATAACTCAAACTTATTAGGCGCCTTACATCAATCTCATTAAATCTTGATTCATATATTTATGCATACTTACAAGTACACTTTCATAGGAATCGTTATCGGTGGTCAAAAAACCAAATGTTGCTCTTAAATAAGGATCTGATAACTGAGATTTAGATTTTTGGCACGACTCTCTCCATAATGTAGTACTTTCTTCTGAGAAACCTGACAATGCCATAGCTACCATATTTAGAATAGCCGTTTGTTTCTTACTGGCACCTCGATTTAAGATATCTATAGCTTGTCTTAGGCAGAGATTAAATACTGCGAACGCAGCTGCTTTCGCATATGCGCCTTCCTTCTCTAACTTCTCTAGATACGTATTATCATACGCCGTATTGGTCTCTCTGTCAAATCGCAAACCGCACAGAAGAAGACATCTTTCTCTGTCCGGTGATCTGCGATTGGTATTGATCAAAATTACATTAGGTATAAATATACTTTCTCAGCATTTGTATGCACTCAAACTATACCTGTAAACTTTTGTCATATAACCAGTACCTATATCCGTCCATGAACGATGGATCACTTCTGTTTTCAAACCATTAACTGAATTTTGTTGATCCAATTTCAAAACTGTCCTATGTAAAAGTTGGAGGCATTATGTTTACATATATATCTCTAAATATAAGGCATTTTATTTATGTAATTTTACCTCACACCGGGATGTTTATTATCAGGACTCTGTACAGTGCCGTCTTCTACTAAAGAGCGACTAAGGTATAACCATTGCCATAAATTCTTTAGAGTTTCGTTCTCGGCTATATCACCATTGTGAGCTAACTCCGGCTGTAATACACATGTAAATTTACACTGATTAAATATCATTAATATCAATAAAATTAAAGAAAAAGAGACTTACACAAACTAAAAGCAAAATAAAAATTTATTAAGTTCCAAGAAATTGTTTTTATTAACTTTATTTACTTACAAGCAAGCCATATTCGAACATAGCACGTCTCTTAGTTAAAACCGAGATATCCTCTAGTTCCTTATAAACGCTATCTTCACTACGTATATATTTAAACGATTTAAAAGCGCAATTCCACATAAGACATGACCGAGCAGACCAATTGAGCGTTATTCTCTCAGATACGGTGTAATCGGTTACGCCTGAGTAATAAGAATATTATAATAATTTTGGACGAAATTGAAGGATCACATTGTAATATAAAATATCATCAAATACCTTGCAGTGATATTGCCAACAATCGATTCTCATCAGTCGGATGCCATGAGAAACTTACGGGACTGTGCCATGGTGGTAGAACCACTCTTTCTAAAACACCAGGCTCAGTATCTTCAGCTCCACAGTACTGAATGTCAAATAGATGCAAGCCAACTGCAAAATAAGGATAAATATATTTTCTGCTTTTGCTTTTCTTTTTATCACTAACAGCTCACTTTTGAAAATGTTTAACATTAACTTTTAAAAACTATATGTATATAAATTGTAGAAATATAGTTTAAAATTACATATACCTGAATCTTTTTGTAATGTGCCAATTAGATTTCGTCTAGTGGGACACCACAACACCTTTGTAACGTGCCGTAGAGGCATTATAGTAACGATTGGTTTCTCAAAACATCGAGTATCCCAAATTGTTATCAGATTGTCAACGTGTGAAAGTAGCTGATAATTATTATGGGGATTAACCGATAGACTATATATCGCTTTTGTGGGAGTAACATTTACCACCTTTGCAGAATCTAAAAAAATTTAAAGAATATTTATAAATTGTACGTTAAGAAATTGCCATATCTTTTAACAGCGTACCTCTGAAATCTATAACTTTCAACTGTTTATTATTAACACCGAGAGCCAAACATCTTGGTTCATATTTGAACCAAGCGGCGGAATGTACAGTCTCTGATATGCCGGCTTCTATTATTGGCCGCTCCGAACCTTTTGGACAATGGTGCACATCCCAAAGCAGCACAGAGTGCTCCTTGCTGTGTTTATCCAGACCTGACATGATCAGGTGAGTATCCACAGGATTCCAGGCAACAACGTTGCACGATCGCATGTATTTTGGGACTGGAATTTCATAATATAGATTAGAAAGATTAAGTAATGTATCATTGAGATGTAATATCGCTCAATAACAATGTAACATAATGATCTCTACAAAACTCTCTGCCGACCAAGCCCTGGTAATCAAATTCTGGCGGGCTAAGAGTACTAAGGACTATCTTTCCATTCGCGTGACCACTGGCTACAATTTCTGGCTCTGGTTGTGGATATATATCAACACATTTCGCATAACTGTTGATGGTAACCGAGCAGACCAGCTCGGCAATGGAATGCTCCGAAATCTGTAGATCTGCATTAAAAAGAACATTATATATATGTTACAATTATAGTGTTAATTCAGTGAATGTATAGACTTACTGTTGTCTGCTCAGTACTGTAGTCAGTGTATACATTTGCTACTTAAATGTATAGATTGACTAATAAGTATATATATTTACTAAAGTTAACATTTTAACTATGACACATATATATGTATATATTTTTTTAAGACATGAACTTAGCATACATCTACAATAAACTTACAAGTTTGATCATTGTCCCGCACGCTATTCTCACGTGGTCCGATCTCGTAAAGATTCAATAACGCATCGCTGTCCCATGTGATAAATCGGTCCGAGTGAAAGGGGGACCACAGTACGTCCCATTTAGGGCGGCTCATCGTTCACTCTGCCTCGTTCACGTTTCTCTCATAAAGCCATGGAACATTGTGTTATTTCGCATCCGCCAACATCGTACATCCAATGTTGAGACGAAACATTACGTTCAATGTGCACAGCACGTATCGCGATTGTAATTCTGTCGCGCAATATCCATCCAGTCTGTCGAAACGTTAAAGAAACGTCCGTGTTATCCTCTGTCACGTTTGTATGATTATCCGTATCTTAAACCTTTGAATGTTTACATTTATCATGCCTTTCTTCCCCTCGACTCCGTCACCGTCTGCTCACACAGAGAAATCAAC